TGCTTGTCTGATCGTCAGACGAATGCTGTAACGATTTCTAGGCTTTCAGACGAATTTGAACTCCTTGTCTAGGCGTTCAGACGAAAATGTTCAAATAGTCCTACTACATATAATCAATTCACTACAGCTATTCATTTTAATGTAAGATCCTATTCTAAGAGGAGTCACTAGCATTACTGCTGCTACCACTGTCATCATCATCACTACCGCTGTCTCTCTCAGACTCAGAGTCTGAGGTTTCCTCTAATGTAGCTGCGGCTTTGCCCTTCCTCCAGGTAGGGAGTTCCCATGCTTCTTCTTCTGCCGCTCTCTCTCTCTCCCTTGTGGCAGCCACCTCCGCCTCTTTCTGTGCGCGGGTTGCCTCTTCCGCTGCTGCTGTTGCTACCGCACGTTTCTTCTGGTGATGGGACCGCCGTCTCTTCACCGGACGTGATCCTTGAGCCATGACCACCTCACGTGCCGGCCGCCTCTTCTTACTGCCATGCCACCTCTCCACCAGCTCCTCTGTGTTCAGCTCGTAATTCAGAAGAGAGACAGTCATCAGGTCCCCGAGTGTCGTGTCGCACAAGCTGCCGCGCACCCAGCTTTTAATAATGTTATGACGGCTGAAATCGCGCTCACACTCAACAGTGCTGAGTGGGAGCACGGCAACAGCTATCCACAGGCGACCGAGGTTCGGAAAGGCCGACTCCCAATCCGGCGTTGAGAGCATCTGCGAGAGGCTGTCGTGGAAGGAGAGGTCTTCGTGATGAGTGGAGAGAATTGTGGTGAAGCTGGTGAGCTCCTTGGCAGCTTTGCCCCAATCGACACCTGATAGCGAGGGGAGGGGGGATGGAACATCGATAGCATATTTTATAGTTCAGCATATACAAATGACACCACAGCCAAAATCATCCAAGACATGGGTCACATGCTGACATAAAATATAGCGCTTACCCGGAAGGGTGTCTGGATGTTGCGGTTTCTTCTTGAACAGGTTGCGCAGAGACTCGAGCCACAGGGAAAATCGGCGCGCTCTCTTAGAGCGCGAGCGAGGGTACAGTCCTTGCCGAAAGAGACGGCTCCCTTCCAGCGACTTCAGGCTCTTCATGCGGTCGTCGATAAAAAACACCGTCCTCGCCGCGAACGCCGATGCCGCCTCCACGCACGACGCCAAATCCCCCCCAAATTTCTCCTTCGCGATGTAGTCCTCGTGCAGAACGTAGGTGTGCGTCACGGGTGTTCCCTCGCTGTCAACGCTTTCGACCTTCACCTCGCGATGCTCAAGGCTCCCGTGCGCTTTCAGGAATGTCGCGAGACGACCACTGTTGTCGCCGAAGGTGGAGCCATACTCCACGTAGCGACTGGTCAGGGCCAGTGTGGTGTGCTGCACCATCGGAAGAACCTGCGTCACATCGAGCTGCACATATAAAACAGACGCAAATTAGTCTCGGGAAGGGAACCCAAGTGTAATCTATGACATCAATCCCTTACCTGCCGTTCAACTCCTGAAGCACATCAACCAGGAAGAACAAGAAAAACTTAAACTTCAGACTTGTTACAAGGGTGTAAGAAGCCTTGTCGTACTCATGCAGCAAGACGACTGCAGCAGGCAGCACGTCAGCAAACCGCTCGATGGCGTCCCCGCGTGATAGCCACCGTACGTCCTTGATGCCTTGCATCTCCAGGTTGGTGCGCGTGATCACCTCCTGTAGCTTCTTGAATCGCGCATGTTGCACGATGCTGCGGCCGAGAATGTCCGCAAAGGCCCGGACGACCTTATCAACGACATTGAACTCTGGAAATTCCAGAGCAGCATCCTTAGCAGCCAGTGCTTCCCTGCAGGCATAACACGTAACAGATTGGTTAGTTATCTGCAAGTAAATATAACAGAAACAACTAACAAAACTCACGGTACACAACCTGTGGGCAACGCAATGGCATGGTACGATGTGCGGAACACGTGACCGAAATCTCGCCACCAGGCCTGTGTCACATCCCGTCATGACACTTGCGCCGTCCGTCGTCATGCCGCTGATCTTCGTCAGTTCAAGGCCGCAAGCTGCAAGGTGTGTCAGGAGGACGGCCTCCAGCGATGCTGCGTCGCACTTCTCGACAGATAGGTTGGCGAGGAATTCGGTCGTCACCGCCATTCCGCGGAGAAACGTGGCATACACAATCATGTGTTTGCCATGCCTTCTGTCGGTGCTTTCGTCGAGCTGAAGGCCAATGAACGGACTGGCGACGATGTGCTGCATCTGCTTCGCCTTCAAGTAGCACACCAGAGTCTCGACCAGCTGCTTGAAGCCGTACCTGCGTCGAACATTAGGCAATAATTAGTAAAATGGCTGGTGAAAAAATACCAGAGGGGGGATTTGATTCAACACTTACGGTGTACAGTAAGTCCCTTGGTCCTTCTCGGGCATATCTGGCGTTCCCATCTCCGCCATGAACTGCACGAGTGTCATAAACAATGCGATGGGGGTATCAGATTTGCAAATGAAGCTCACAGTCAGAAACAACTTGATCAACCGCCGCGCTTCCGCACTCTTATCTCCAAAGTTGGAGAGAGAAGCCTGCTTCGACTGCGGGCCTTCACGCTGCTCCAATCGTGCCTTCGCCACCCGGTGCCGGATGCTCCACTGGTGTTTCCTTATCGTTTGCTTCTGTATGTCGATGCCTCCCTCGCCCCGAGTGCCGTACTGCGACTCTGGATCTGCGTACACCGTGCAGATCTTGCACCTCATGCAAGGACGACCTTCGGAGTTGTCGCCGATGATAAGCCAAGGGAAGTGGCGTTGCCACTGCTGCTTGGCTTTTAGCTGCAGCTCCTCCAGCGTCAGAATCGCAGGACCGGGGTTCTTTTCAGCACGGCTCTCCCCTCCATCGTCCTTAGAAGCGGGATTTCCTGCAGAGGGAGAGCTTGGGCACTTCGCGAAAGAAAGCTTATGTTGAACATACTTAGTTTTGCCCGGAAACCGCGGCGGAAGGAACGGCGAGCGGGATTTGAAAGGGTTGTTTTTTGTAGGAGAGGCAGATGCGTGAGGTTGACCAGATGTCGAACCCCCAGGAAGGCTTGTTGAGCTCGGTGATCGAACTGGGGAAAAAGGTATTAGCGGCTCGGCATCCATTTCCGCGAACGGGTAAGGCTGCTCGGGAGAGTCTGGCCTCTCATTCTCACCGGCCGAAGGAGCAACAGGAGCTGCTGAGACGGGAGTTGTGGTGAAACACCCCCCGGTAAGAAAATCAAGGCCAGTGCGTGAGCGTGGCAACGCACTGGAAGGTGGCGGAGAAGCATGCAGAGTGGAAGCTGGAGGGGCCTCCGTGCGAGAGTCAGAGGCCATCGTGACAACTACAACACACTACCTCGCTCTCGCCAACGAGGTCTAAATGAAGGACCGACCCCTGGTGATGCGGGGAGTGAGGGGGGGGTATCGTTGGGACGAGGCGCGATGCATGAACGTCTCCCTCTCCGCTGGAAGCTGCCATGCCATCCACCCCTGCTGACTCTACGCGCACTGAGGGCAGTCGGTGTTGCAAATGCAGCTGTCTGCCGTGCGCTGGCACGAATATGCCAAACCAGTTGGCAAGATTCGTGCCAGTGGGGTGAGTCTGGCGCATTTGACGTGAGGTGTTGTCACCGACCAGAGGCAACGTACACCCTGGCGGTGGCAGCACGGTAACGCGGCGAGTGGCAAGTCTCGTCGGGAACATTGGGCAACAGGGCATGTGGGCAACTAGCCAGGTGGGCAACTGGCCAGGTGGGGTAATTTGTCGGTATCAGACGAGAAAGTACGCGATGTCTGCAGTCTCAGACGAAACGTATAAGGTTGTCTAAAAAATCAGATAAATATAGGAACCTTGTCTAAAAAATAAGATGAGTGGAAAGGGCTTGTCTAGGCCCTCAGATGAGCCCAAAAAAAACGTGTCTGGATTCAAGAAAAACAGACAAGAAATTTCTGATAACGTAGGCCCTGGTCAACAGTCACGACCGTTGACCATCTGCGACTGTTGACCTTCGAGTGACTCTCGAGCTGCCGCGTGCTCTTTACGAGCTTAACGCGATAGTGGTACACCGTACAGGTGCGCTGCCTTGTTATGAAGCGATGCGCTAAGTGAGGCCTTCGGGAATGTTATCATAACCATCTGTTATTCCAACAGCAACATTCTCTACTTTCTCTTGCAGAATTATCCTGTCCAACAAAGATCCTTAAGTTTCTCTAACAATCCTGTTTGCATGGGGTCTATTACGTTTTGCCACAAAGGCCCGCGACGTGTGTGTTTTTTCACTCAGGCATTAACCTTGAACATCTCTAGTGGAGTTGAATGTTTCCATGACCAGGTGTACGGCATTTTATATTGACTCATTTTTGCCATGTAGCCACCCAAAACGACCCTATTTCTGTCATGCTCTTTCCATTTCCAGCGTGTCGCACGTGAGAGCGAGGGCAGGCGAGTCACGCATGGCAGCACGGCATCGGCGCCACCTCATCAAGCCATCTACAGTACACCTTGATGAGCGCATCTGAATCTGAACGGACAGCGGCAGCCCTGCGATATGCGAACCTGCATCTCGCCTCTCCTCGCCTCTGCCTCGCCCTTTCCCTTTCCCTACCACCCCTCCCCTCTCCTCCCCTCCCTTCCCCTCCTGCCCACTTGCTTTGCTCGCCTGGCATGGCCCCTCGCTCGCCTCTTCCTCCCCTCACCCGCATGAACAGTACCGCTCACCAAACCCTAGATGCATCCCACCAGCCCCTCTCCTCGTCGTCACTTGCTGTTGGTCGTTGGTAGTTACGCCTGATGGAGCCCAGCCGAGCTGCTCACTGCTTTCTCCTCTCCCTCTCTCTGCCTCCTGCTTCCCGGCAATCTACTCAACTCCCAGCTTGCACCACGCGTAACCCTAGTTAGTAGGTGCCCGTATAGTTAACTGTATGCTATAGGATCCTCAACGGGTCGCATCACATCAGCGACACAAGCTCCAGATTTCGCGACGTGAGTACCCGTGTAGTTCTCACTATGCGATGCCATCGTCGCGAGCTGCCATCGCTCTGTCGTCACAGGATGTAATGTCGGCGGGGTGGTCGTCAATGTACAACAATGGACTGGCAAGGCGACCCTGCACCTTCTAGATCGCCTTAATCTCAGGCTCCCCCCCCTCCCCCCCCCCCCCCCCCCCTCTCTCTTTCTTTTCTCTTCACAGAGCATCCATTCCCTTCCGTCTCTCTGTGTTTATCGTGTGACTTCGTGGCAGTTACTCTAGTATTTATTTTTAGACGTAATGTCGCTGTGACCTCCCGGTTTCGCGTCAGCAACAATCCCTAGTGGTAAGACTTGTAGCAATAGTTCAGCTGGCTGCTCCGCGGCTCTGTTCCGTGCCATCCTCGCGCCCTCCTCTCTGTCTTGTTCTCCCGTACCAAGTTTTTTTGGCTCGTCAAATATTTTGTCTCTCCGTGTTCTCCCCTCGCTCGCTCGCACACAGCTGCAACCGTCCTCCCATGCCGCGCCGTTCCTTAATGTGCGCGCCTCTTCCCTCCTGCCATCCCCGCGTGCCGCAGGTCATCGCCGCGTCGAGGCAACACCACCGCAGCCTTCCTCCGCGCCTCTCTCTCCCCCTCCCCCCCGATGGACGCCATATCCCGTCCGCCCGCCGCCCCCCTCTCCGCGCGCCGATGGGTGGTGGGGCACAAGAAGTGGGCTCCCCCTGCCGCCGCCCCCCCGCCTGCTTCCGCGTCCTTCGCCTCCTCTCTCGCCGACTCCTTCCTTCCATCGCACGTTCCCTCCCACTCGTCGCACGTCCCGTCGCACCCGTCGCTCGCCTCGTCGCACCCGTCGCACGGCGGCAGCTGGGCCAACGGGAGCGTCGTGGATGGGAGCTGCGGGTTTGAGGGGTCGCAACGAGGGCGCGCGGAGGAAGGCTGGTCGGGCGCGCGCAACATCGGCGCGCGGCATGACGGGGATGCAGCGGTGCCGGGGGGAGCGCAAGCGGATTCTGGGTGGCGGAAGCGGAAAAGGTATTGCACGTGTTACCTGTCTTGTCGCGCTGCTGTCCTCGTGTGTGTCGCAAGCTGCTCGCGACGGAGATTGCTCATTGTTACTTCACCCAATTAACGCCATTCCTCGTTCCGTTCTTCTCACTCCACTCTCGCCCATTCCCTCCGCTGCCCCCTTCTCTTCTCCCGTTTCTCCCCCTTCCCCTTCCCTCCGCCTCGTTTCGTGTTTTCTTCCCAACCCCAACCTTCCCACCCCCTCTTTCCCCCACTCTGCCCCCCTTTCCCCTCGCCTCCTGCCTCCCTTCCCCCCCGCTGCCTCCCCTTCCCCCCCGCTGCCTCCCCTTCCCCCCCGCTGCCTCCCCTTCCCCGCCCTGCCTCCCCTTCCCTCCCCCTGCCCCCCTCCCCCCCCTTCTCTCCCGGTTCCCGCCCCCGCCCCCCCCTCCCCTGCGAGCAGCCATCTATCCGACACTGCCGACGACTCCGCCTGTCTGACGGCATCGCATGGCTTTCACGCCCCCTCCTCCGCCGTGCCGCACGCCGCCGTCGCGCATCCCGCCACCTCCCCCCCCGCGCACGCCACCCGTTGGGATGTGCCTCTTTTCTCCGCCAAGCGCGCATGCCTCGCGGCGGTCCCACACAGGCCCGCGGAAGGCGCGGCATGGGCGGAGAGGCCAGGCGCGTGGGGGGAAGGGCCAGCGGCTTTCCAGGCGCAAGGTCGGGAAGCCGCTGCGGCGGCGGCGGCGGCGGCGGGGAAGGCGGAGGGCAGAGGCGTCGCGTGGCGGGCGCTGAGCGCGTCGTCGGTGGACTTCGCGCCGCAGCCCTTCCAGCCAATCACAGAGTCGGATCTGCTTTTGAAAGCGTCGGGCAGCGGAGCGCCGCTTGCGTTCGCCGTGGGCGCGGCGGCGGGCGCGCACGGCGACGGGCGCGGGGGGCTCCACCATCCCTCTTCCTCCGCGCGCAGCATCGGCGCTTCAATGGAGAGCGGCGCGCGCACGCGGCGGGTGGTATGCGCGCGGGGCAGGAAGCGGCGGGGAGCGGGGGGGGATCCGGGACAGCAGGTCGCGATGGCGCGGCGAGCGGGCGACGCAGGCGCTCTTATCGAGGCGGGCGGATGGGCGGCGGCGCAAGGGGAAGGGGAGCAGAGCTCGTGTGCGTATGGGGGGGAAAGGGACGATGCGGAGGACGGGGCGAGAGGGGAGGAGGAAGCGGAGAGGAGGGAAGGAGGAGGAGGAGTCGGCGCAGAGAGCGCTGCGCAACCGAGGCGGCGGAGACGGAAGGTGGGGCTAGTGGGGGTAGCGGAAGAGGGGGAGGTGGCGGAGGAGAGGGATGGGGTTGCGGCGGCTGCGGAGCTGTCGTCCCTTCGTGGCGCGTCGTCCGCCGCGGGTGCGGCGGCAGCGCTAGGGAGCACCGCGAGGCGGCCTCCCCACGCGCATGCGCCTGTGCTGGCAGGATGTGGGGCGGTGGCCGGCGGGAGGGCGGGGAGTGCGAGCGTGGAGGGCGCTCGGCGCGCAGACGGTGCTGTGAGCGCAAACGCGTGTGCGCCGTCGTCCCCGGAGTGCCGCGCGCCCGAGGGAAGCAGCGGGGACAGCAGCGCGTGTGAGCGGGAGAGCACGGGGAGCGAGCAGCGTGCAGGGCGGAGGCGGAGCGCGCGAGTGCTGCAGGAGACTGTGAACGGCGCGCGCAACGAGGGGCTGCGGGACGAGGAAAGGGGGGACACGCGGCAGCGGCAGCGGCATAGACCAAACGGAACGGTAGCGGGAGCGGGTGGCACGGGGGGAACGTGGGGAGGGGCGGGAGAGGAGGCGGAGGAGTTGGAGGCGGAGATGAGGCGGCGGTTCAGCGTGGTGGTGCAGTCGCAGGTGGGGGGGGGCGAGGAGGAGGACGGACCGCTGGAAGGGGAGGCCGATAGGTGCATGTCCGACCACGTAGGGGCGGCCAAGTTTGTCCTCTCCTCTGGCCGAACGCTATCAGCGGGTGGGCATTCCTTTTAAGCTTCACTCGCTTCCACCCCTCCTTGCCCACCTCCTCTCCCTCCCTTCCCTCTCACACCTAATGCCCCCGCCCCCCCCCTCCACCCGACCCCCCTCCCTCCGCACCCCGTTGCTCCCCCTTTGGCGCTCTTTGATTTGCATGCGCGCATGCCAGTTGTCGATGCTGTCTTTTGATTTTGCTGTGCAATGTTGCATGCCATTAATATCTCATTGCTAAATATGTTGAGCTGTAATGCGCCTTTTGTTTAGTCAACTTGTGCTCATGCCTGCCCCTCCTCGGCCCCCCTCTCACCCTCGCCCTGCCTTGTCTGCATCCCCTCTCGTTCCCCTTGTTGCTCTGTGTGCTCTGTGTTCCTCTGTGCTCCTCTGTGCTCCCCTGTGTTCCGCTGTGCCGCACTCTACTGCTGCATGCATCAGAGGGACTGCCAGCGCCCAAGAAAAAGCCGACCATAGACGATGAGTTTGAGCAGTACTTTGCGCAGCTGCTCCTCTAGCCAATTTTCCATCCTACCAGCTCACGACTTATCGTGCAGCGCATGCGCGAGGTTGGTTTGTGTTTGTGTTTGTGTGTAGAGAGCTTGGGAATATGCATCTAGATTTGAAGGTAGATGGTAGACGAGTGCTGCAAGGGGATCCTTTCTGCTGTGCGTGTGCTGTGTTGGCTAACCCCAGGGCACGAGGAAGCGTTTGTGTGTGTGAGGTCCTGTCTTGATTGCAATGGTCTATCCATCCTGTGTACATTGCGTCTTCCTCGTGTTAGCATCCTAGTGCAAGCCCACCACTTCCCCCAATTGTACTATGTGTTGCACTGTATCGGAGCCTTATCTCTCTCCAACCAACGCCGTCACCGCCACCGCACTAGCTTCTCTGCCCACAACAAAGCTATACAGTACAACAGCGCCCAGCGCATCCCAGCCATCCACAGCTCAGCCCTTGCCATTCTTTCCCCCTTGGCCATGCCCTCTCCTGCGCATTTCCTCCAGGAGCCGCCCTCCGTGCTTCGCCACAGCCTGCCTTGCGCTGCGCAGTCTCCCCACCGCATTCTCGCGCAAAGCGCGCCACTGCGCTTCCGCCCCCCGGCGCGTTTCGACGACTGCCTCGCGCGCAACGTCGATCGCATGCGCCGCCTGCAGCTACGCAGGGACGAGTCGCACAACTGTAGCAAGTTGACCTGTTACTGTAGCAAGTATAACGAGCCCGTACAACTATAGCGAAGCCTTACAGCTATAGCGATGCAGGTGGCGGTGTGTTTCAATCGGGGAACCATGCCGTGCGACCGCCACCCCTGCCAAGCCAGTTGCCCGCGCTCCCGCCACGTGCAGCGCCGCACGCCACAGATTCACCCCATTGTCGCCCGCATCCATCGCCGCCCCTTGCGCTGCCCGCGCGCCCGCCTCTGGCTTGCCCCTCGCCTGCCCGTCTCTCGCGGGTCTCCGAAAGCCAAGATCAGTGCGGATCAATCAGCTCTGTCGCTAGCAGCCCAGCGTGCCGGTAGTACTCCTGTGTAGCGTGGAGGGGAAAATACGACGGCTTTCAGCGGCCAGCCGACGACAGGCAGGCGCAAGGCCGGCACGGCTGACGGCAACGCTGCGTGACTGGTGCTAGCGGCGAGACGAGCCGTGATGGTTCGGTTCAGTTCGGTGGAGGCCGAAAAAGGGCGACATGCAGGGTTGGGTGGGGGCTCTTGATGCCTCCTAAATAGTCGTCCTCGTTACAAATTTGCAGGTGAGCTTCTAAAAGAAAACACATAGCTTCTTGTTCTCCGGGATGGAATGAGGCAGTCAACCCAACGAATGAAAAATAGATGAAACTATTGAATGAAAAAATACAGATGCTACGCTACAGCACAGAAATTTTGAACTATCATCAGTGCAATGCTATTCCATTGCCACAACTTGGGTTTCGACCAATTCGTTGACTAGAACGTGTGGAAGGGAGAGGTAAGACCCCTCCACAACCCGATCCCCTCCCACTTGAGGGTTTGCCTTGCGCAGCGCTTCCAGAGGGACCTGCGAGAAGGCAGCAGGAGCAATTGACGGGCTGAGGGCTGGTTGACCACCCATGCTCGGTGAGAAGCCCATCACTAACAGGTGAGTGCAGCAGAGCAGGCGTACGGGAAGGAGTCATGGGAAGAGAGCTTCATAGTGCAGCAATATTCCTTGTATGCCCCTCATCCTCTCGCCTCCCTCACCCCCTCGCCTCCCTCATCCCCTCGCCTCCCTCACCCCCTCGCCTCCCTCACCCCCTCTCCTCCCTCACCCCCTCGCCTCCCTCACCCCCTCTCCTCCCTCACCCCCTCGCCTCTCCTGTCACTCGGTCATCACCTGGCATCGCTGGGAGATGCGCCACAGGCTGTCCCCTGCCTGCACGCGCACCCGTGCATCTGCATCCACCACCAGCGCTTCCACTTGTTCCCTCACCAACCCCCTTGCACCGCTCTGCACCGCACTCCCCACCGCCGCGCTACGTGCCACCGCCTGCCGCCCCGCCTCCGCCACCTCCTGGACGGCGTCTGCCATCCCCTGCACCGCCCCTGCCACCTCCTGTGCCACCTCAGCGCCCACTGTGCTGGCGCCTGCTGCTGCCTCCTCCACTGCTCCCCCCACCGTGGCCACTGCCTGGCTGACCGACGCGTGCGCCTTTCCCACCGCACGCATCACTCTCACCTGCACCGGTGCATGGAAAAAATAAGGCACCGTGCCATGAACTGACGATTTTGTATTTGCCAAATAGTAGTCCTAATTCGTTTTTTTTTGCTCTGTACCCCTTCCTTTCCTTGTCCTTCTTTCCAGAGGAATTGGAGAGTCTGAACGACGATTTACAGTTATTGACCCACCGTGTCTTTGATCCCGACGGCAGTGAGCCTGGCTGTTCGCAGCACCTGCTGTTCCTCTGCCCTGTGCTTCAGGTGCCGGGCTACCATGGCCCCCACACCCACCACCCCCGCCACACACACAGCGCGCCACACCCCCTTGGGCACGCCCCACAGCCCCCCTCCACGCGCTGGGGTCCCATCAGCAGGCCGACCCTCACCGCTTGTCGCCATAATCGTGTGCTAAAACATGTTCCTCGTTGCTGTGGAGTGTATGTCAGGGGGGAACAAGAGGCAGCGATGAGCCACAGCAGGAAAAATGCATAGGGAATGGGATCTCTTTGGGTGGAATGCAATGCAGTGCAGGAAATGTGAAGTGGTGTTCGCTTTCAATTTACATATCGCGGTTTTGTTCGGTGATTTGCGGTCAAGAGAGGTTTTATGGGAGAACCGGTTTGTACCGTGGTGAAAGTAGATGGGCTTGACAGGCGACGCGTGGGTCAGCAATTTGGGTTGGTGTTACACTCTTCGACGAAAATTTTATCCTTCGCCTTCCACTTGTTCGGTCACTTCAACGCCTCGATTTGACAGCACAGCTCGAGTTAGCAACGCACGCCCGCTTCCGCATGCACATGACGTCACTCCTGCGTGGCTCCGTCCACTCTCCTTCCCGTTATCGCCAACCTCGCCACGCTGGAATCGAATTGACACTTTCCCGCGCCGCGGCACTGAAACAAGAATTGCTCGGCGCGCTAAAACACCAACGGAGATTCCGAGGGGTGGACATTTTCCAATCAGGCGAACGCGCCTCGATTTCCCTCTTGGTCCGCCTCGTTCGTTCCTCGTTTCTTGGCGTTTCCCCATCTTTCCTTTGCTTCGTCAGTCACGCTACTTCGTTCCATGCTTTCTTTAGTTTTTTAGAGAAGGGCGCCATGTCATGGCAGCAGAACAACTCGTTCTAGTCACTAACTCTTAATTTCATCGAGTCACCATGGATAGCATTCGGCTCATACAGTCGCGTCTACTGGGAGTGCCAGTCGCTTCGAGCGAACTGAGTTTGCCAGCCATTGATCGCCGTTCAGCAGCAAGGCATAGCAGCGACTGCTCGTTAACGTCGCATTTCTGTCCATGCGATCGCTTCCTTTCCCATTTAAACTCTGGAAACGCGGCACGCAGCCGCCGGTATCAACTAGCCCGCGCTTCTGCCACCCCATGGAGCCCAAGGGGCATTCCCGCAACCCCTTGCGCCCCTCTCCGCGCTCCGCTGTTTCCGCACACTCTAATCCCCGCTCTCTCCGCACCTGCTGCTCCCACTGGTCCTCCTATCGCCTGTATGGCGCACGTGCCTGCGTCAGGGCGGCGTCGCATTAGCGTTGTCGCAACGGCTTCGTCGCCTGCCGCGAGGGGTTCACCTGCCGCGTCGCCTGCTAATTTGCCTGCTGCAAGCATGGCGACGAGTGCGACGGAGACCACGACGTCCACGGCGACGGCGACGACGATGGACGGTCAAGGTGATCCCAAGGCGGACCGCGAGGATTCATCTAAGCAGCTTCAGGAGCCAGGCCAGTTAACGGACGCCACATCATCATCTGAGCTGGCTGGCACGGCGGTGGACGCCACGTCACCACAGAGAGGCCACCTGGACGTATCGCGACACAATCTACCCCTCAGCAGCATTGTCAACCAGGTAATTGATCCACATGGCAGTGGCGGGATGGCCGGCAGTCAGCGACTAGGTTGTTGTGATTGACCCCTTCCCCTTCCTCTTTCCCTCCCTCTCCCCCACTTCCTCCCTCGGACGATCGACATGACTGTTCCCCCCCCCCTCCCCCTTACTCCTTCCCTCCATCCCCATCCCCCCTCCCTTTTTCTCCCTCCCCCTGTCCCCATCCCCGCTCCCCTTTCCCATCTCTTCTCCCCTCCCCCCATCCCCTCCTTCCCCGCCCCACGGGCAGCGCGGAGGGCCCTGACCTAGGCGGGGAAGAGCGCATGGGGTGAGTGGCGGCCGGGGTGACTTTTGAGTCGACTCAAAAGTCAGCCCACATGGGGTGAGTGGCGGCCGTGGCGCAGGCAAGACTCTCCCTCGCGCTTCTCCTCCGCTCCCTCTCGCCCCCTCCGCTTCACATCGGCCTCACCCCTAACCCCACTGAAGGCGGAACTGTTGCCAGGCGCGCGGACCCCCCCACCTGCACTGACTGGCGCTGGCGGGGGCGTCTCCACTCCTCCCCCTCTTCCTCCCCCTTTCCCCCTCTCTCTCCACTCCTTCTTCCCTTCACTCATTCCTTTCTCCCTCTTTCCGCATTCCCCAGACACTCTCCATTCCTCTCCCCACCAGGCGCGGTGAAGGAGGCGCTGCTGTAGCGTCTCTGGGCTTACGCACGGGCCACGGGCCACGGGCGGGGGTAGAAAGGGCATGTGCGGCGCGTGTGTACAGCCCCCGTTTGCCCAGTGGGTGGCGGGGTGTGATACGGCTGGCAGCAGCAGTGGATCGGGGGCTGGGGGTGGTGGGCGCTGGTGGGGTCGTCTCACCTCCATCCACCTCCTCCTCAACCCCCCACCTCTCCCTCCCTTCCTCCATCATTCCCCAACCTCCCTCCTTTCCCCTCCCCCACCAGGCGGCAGTGAAGGACGCGTTGCTGGCAGCAGCAGGGGACCCGGGGCTTGGGGGGGTGGCGCTGGCTTGGGCGTCTCACCTCCATCCCGCTCTCCCTCTTCCCCTCCAACCCCTCCCCCCTCTCCTCCCCCACTTCTTCACGCGGCGGTGAATGAGGCGTTGCTGGCAGCAGCGGTGGACGTGGGGCTGGGGGGAGTGGCACTTGTGAGGGCATCGCACTCCCCCCCCTCTCCCTTCTCCCACCCACCCCCGCCTCCCATTCCCCCCACCAGGCGGCGGTGAAGGAGGCGCTGCTGGCAGCAGCGGTGGACCCGGGGCTGGGAGGGGTGGCGCTGGTGGGGGGCCACGGCACGGGCAAGACCGTCATGGCGCGCGCGCTGCCCCTGCTGCTGCTAACAGTGCTGCGCCAATGCCGTCCCATTGCCGTTGTGGAGGGCAGCTGGGCCAATGCCGACCCGCGCATGCCGGAAGAGTGAGACGAGGGGAAGGGGGGAGGTGGGGAGGGGGGGGGAAGGGAGGGGGGAAAGGGGAAAGGGACGGGGGAGTGGGGGCCTGGGGAGGGGAGAGGGTAGGGGGATAATGGAGTGTGCGGTAGGGTGCAGAGGTGTGATGGGTGCAGGCAGCAGTGGCGATGCGGCGTTGCTGCCCTTGGGATTGCAGCTCGTGCGGACGCGTGCTGGATGAGTGAGAGAAATGGATGAGTGTGAGAGAGGGGGAAGAGGGGAGAGGCGCGGGGAAGCGAGGGAGAGGGAGTGAGTGTGCATGCGTGGTGAGGGACATGTGGAGGAGCGAGTGGGTGCAGTGGGGATGCCTGCATGCAAGGGGTGGGATTATTGTGAAAGACAGACGGACGTAAGCATTTCAAACGTTTCTCATTGGCTCTAATCAGGTAGAGTGCACCTGGCAATGCATGTTCCCATCCATCCGTGCGTACATGTGCGTGCATGCGTGCATGTGTGTGCATGAGTGCATGGGAGCAGGTGGGAGGAGGGGCTAAGGGAGAGCATACAGCAGCGGGGGTGCGACGTGCACCATCCACCCGTCACCCTCTGCAACCCGCCTTTTGTGCAGGTGGGTGCTGCACCTGCCCATGCCATGCCGTGCCATGCCATACCTTGCTTTGCCAAGCCGTGCCATGTCATGTCGACTTCATGCCATCCTAAGCCCTTACCATGCCCACTCCAATCCTTGCCGATCTTACACCTGCTCACACCGCATTGCACCCCTTGGTCCGTGTCCCCTTCTTCCCCCCCCCAGGTGCCCCTGGGAGTGATGGAGGATGGGCTACTGGGGTCGGGGGACGTGGAGGGCAGAGGCCTCACATCCGCTGTACCGCCTTGCACCCCCTCGCATCCCTCGAATCCATGTCCCCTGTCCCTTTGCACAGGTGCCTCTGGGGGTGACGGAGGACCGGCTGCTGGGGTCGGTGGACGTGGAGGGCCATTGCCTCTCATCCTCTGTACCGCCCTGCACCCCTCCGCCTGTCCCTGCACCCCTCACACGCGTGTAGGTGCCTCTGGGGGTGACGGAGGACCGGCTGCTGGGGTCGGTGGACGTGGAGGCGTCCATCCAGGCAGGGCGCAACATCTTCCTGCCGGGGCTGCTCGCGCGTGAGTGCAGAGGGGGCGAAGGGGTGAGGGGGGAAGAGGAGCAGAGCGGTAGGGGCACAGCGGTCCAGGGGCTGCTGGGGTCGGTGGACGTGGAGGCGTCCATCCAGGCGGGCAGGAACATCTTCCTGCCCGGGCTGCTCGCGCGTGAGCCATGGGGGTGACGGGTGACGGGTGGGCGGGGGGTGGCTGAGGTGTGTGGGGGGGGGGGGGTTGAGTGAGGGTTGATGTTTGAGAATTGAGGATTTAGGGGTGAGGTTTTAGGGGTGAGGTTTTAGGGGTGAGGCTGTGAGGGTTGAGGGGTGAGGCTGTGAGGGTTGAGTGGTTGAGGCGGCGAGGGGCGAGGGGGTGCGAGTTCTCTACGGGCTAAGGCTTTCTGGTGAGCGATGGAGAATGGTTGAGAGCAAGATGGCGGGATTGATGCACACCGGGGTGCCACAGCTGCGCCCAGCACTGGCGTGGCAGCATCAATCGTGGCTGCGCCCATATCCTCCCCAATCCTCCCAATTCTCTCCACTTTCCCCTCCCCCTCCCATGCACCAGAGTGCCACCGCGGCGTGCTCAACATCGACCACGCCAACCTGCTGGGCCATGCCTGCGGCTCTGAATGCTCCCCTCACAATGCTCGCACTCCCTGCCATCGCCCGCACATTCATCCCACCGCATCACATCCCCCTCCCTTCCCACAGAGTGCCATCGCGGCGTGCTCTACATGGACCAAGCCAGCCTGCTGGACGGCATGCTGGCGCCGCTGCTCTTCCCTCTCCTTGCTGCCACCCCACAACGCAATGGACGCAATCCCTCCCACCCACCACCCATCCACCCCAACCGCACCGCACCGCATCCCATCCCCCCAGAGTGCCATCGCGGGGTGCTCTACATCGACGACGCCAATCTGCTGGACGACGCACGCACTCCCTCCCATGCCCCGGACATTCATCCCCACCGCACCCCACCGCACTCCACCGCACTCCACCGCAACCCATTCCCCCCCCTTCCCGCAGAGTGCCACCGTGGCGTGCTGTACATGGACGACGCCAACCTGCTGGACGACGCCCTGGCGGCGCTGCTCTTCGCCCCCACCACTCCCCTCTTATGCCCATATTACCTCCATCCCCGCACTCCACCGCACCCCACCGCATCAGAGTGCCACCGCGGAGTGCTCTACATCGACAACGCCAACCTGCTGGACGACGCACTCCCTCCCATTCCCCACACAATCCACCCCACCATACCCCACCATACCCCACCGCATCCTATTCCCCACCGCATCCTATTCCCCACCGCATCTTATTCCCCACCTATGCACCAGAGTGCCACCGCGGAGTGCTCTACATCGACGATGCCAATCTGCTGGACGACGCGCTGGCGGCGCTGCTCTTCGCCGCGCTCGCAGAGGGGTGCAGTGCGGTGGAGCGCGAGGGGCTGTCCGTGCGCCACGCGTGCCGGCCGCTGCTGCTGGCGTCGTTCAACCCGCAGGAGGGCGCGCTCAGGCGGCACCTTCTCGACCGCATCGCGCTCATTGTGAGGTGCGAAGGGGGTTGTGGGAAAGGGAGCAGAGAGCGAGTGGGGTGCCGCTGCTGCTGGCGTTGTTCAACCCACAGGAAGGCGCGCTCAGGCGCCACCTGCTGGACCGCATCGCTCTCATCGTGAGGTGCTAAGGGGGGTGGGGGTACAGGGGGGAGGAAAGGGGGTGTGGGGTAATGCAGTGCTGAGAGGGAGGGGCGTTGTTCAACCCACAGGAAGGCGCGCTCAGGCGCCACCTGCTCGACCGCATTGCTCTCATCATCAGGTGCGGTGGTGGGGTGGGCGTGGGGGTGGAGTTGGGGATGGGGTGGGGAGAAGGGGAGGAAGGAGGCAAGAGGGTGGGGCGAATGGAAGGGCGCGCTGCGACGCCACCTGCCGGACTGCATTGCACTCATCGTGAGGTGCCAAGGAGGGTGGGGCTAGTGGGTTGAACTAGGCGGTGCGAGGGTGGGGAGAGACAGTGCGGGTGGGGGTTGACGGTGGTGCTACGAGCAGGAAGGGGCGCGCTGCGACGCCACCTGCTTGACCACATTGCGCTCATCGTGAGGTGCGGTGGTGGGCGTGGTGGGGGTCGGGGTGGGGAGAAGGGGGGGAACGAGGCGAGAGAGTGGGGCGAATGGGAGGGCGCGCTGCGACGGCACCTTCTGGACCGCATTGTACTAAGGGGAGAGGGATAGGGGTTGGATAGGGGGAGAGGGAGTGGGGGTGGGTGTTGGAAGGGAGGGGGGGGGGGGAGGGGGGAGTTGGTAGGGATGGGGGTCGACGGCGCTGCTGCTGGCGTTCTTAACCCCACAGGAAGGCGCGCTGCGACGCCACCTGCTGGGCCGCATTGCTCTCATTGTCAGGTGCTGTGGTGTGGGTGGGGTGAGGGAGTGCGGATGGGGGGGGAGTTGGGGGGTACTTGATGGAGCGTAGCAGTGGTGGCGTTGGAGAGGGGAGCGATGGGGGTGGAATGCTGTTAGGCGCTGATTCTGGCGTGGGTGAGAGGGTGCGCGTGAGGGCCTGGAGAGTCTTGCAGTTGAATGCCGTTAACTCCCTCCAAACATCACTGGCGCTCGCTCCCGGAAGTGCATGGAACATGATCATGCACCTCATTGACTGCATCAGTGAACCTCCCTGCCTGCCCGCCCGCCCGCCCGCCTGCCCGCCCACCCGCCCGCCCGCCCGCCCGCCTGCCTGCCTGCCTGCCTGCCTGCCTGCCTTCATGTTTGTTCAACCCGTGTCCCTGCATGTGCCTGACACATCAGCACGGATGCGCCTCTTTCATTGGAACAGCGGGTGGCAGCAGCTGACGTGGCGAACGCCTTTCTGGACGGCAAGCTGAGGGCTGGGGGAGGGGCGAGGGGAGATTTGAAACCTGAGAGGCTGACGTCCTCGGAAGAGGGAGAGGAGACGCGAGAGGAGGGTGAGGAGGATGAGGAGAGTGTGGAGGAGGGGGTGGAGGCGGATAGGCTGCGAGTGCTGTTTGCGCGACAGCTGCTGCCACGTGTCAGCATCTCACAGGCCCAGATTGCATTCCTGGTGGACGCTGCTGTGCAGCTGGAGTGCGAGGTGAGATGCGGTGAGATGCGGTGAGGTGCGGTGAGATACAGCATTCATCATGAGGTGCAGTACGGTGAGAGGATGTGCAGAGATGTGTCGGGAGGCACGGTGAGAGATGGTGACATGCGGAGAGAACGAGGCAATTGTGGGAGAGGAGCAAGTGAATGGGATGCACTGTGTCTCACCCCTCCTGTGTGCTTTCTTTCTTAGTGTCGTTCTTATCTCTCGTGTTTTCTCCTTCCTTCCTCCTCCGTCCATCGCCCCTCGTGCCTCCTTTCAAGCCCACCATGCCCCGCATGTCGCTGTCCGGTGTGCGTCATCCTCTCGCCGCCTTCCTCACCACGCTGCGTGCCACTCACCGCCCACACACCGCCCTCCCTCCTCGCCCTCCACGCACCCCCCCTTGTTCGTGGTGGCAGGGGCAGCGAGCGGAGCTGTTTGCGGTGCGGGCAGCCAAGGCACTGGCGGCGCTGAACGGGCCAGCGCAGGTCTCCCAGGCCGACCTCGTCCGAGCCGTGCGTGCTGCCAGGGGGGAGGACGTGGGGGGGGGGGTTGGGGAGAGGGGAGGGGTGTGGGAGCTGGTGGCTCGTTTGGGCTAAGTGTGAGGGGAGTTGAGAGTGTGGTGGAGGGTGGTGATGGGGAGTGGGGTGTTGCAGTGGGGGAGTTATAGGGCAGTTGGGTTGTTGGTACAAGCAGGCAGGTTTCAGCAGGTGAAACCAAGGGGGGGCAGCGCTGAGGGGCCACTGGGATGCCAAGGGGGGGCACGTTTGGGGTGCTTGTGAGGAGGCTGTTGGGGCTGTAGAGGTTGACAGCATGAGTGCTTGGATTGCTGCCATCTACCCTCACTCCCTGTCCCTTCCTCCTGCACCATCCCTTCTCATCCCCACCCGCCCTCCCTCCCATAACCCCTTCCCTCCCCCTCCCGTCCCGAAACGCCCCTCTCTTATGGAGCAGGCCCAGCTGGCAATAGTGCCACGTGCCACGGTGGCATTGGCCAGCGAGCCCAGCAGCAGCCCGCCCCAGTCCGCCCGTGCAGCGCCCCCTCCTCCCAGCAGGCGGGCGGACGACAGCAAAGAGGAGCCGCAGGAGGAGCAGGAGGGCGAGGTGAGCAGGGGCGGAGGGTGGGGTAGGGGGGAGGAAGTAGGAGACTAGGAGGTTGTAAATAGGGGGGGTTGACAAGCAGGGTAAGGGACGCCCCACTCCCTCCCTGCCCAGCCGTCGCCCCGAGGAGAGCAGCAAGGAGCCGTAGGAGGAGCCGAGGGCGAGGTGATCGGGAGTGGGGGGGGAGAGGGAAAGAGGGGGGAAGGGAGGTTGTGAATGGTGGGGGGAGGTGACAAGCAGGAGAGGGGACGTTTTCCCCCCACTCAGTGGTGAGAAGTGAGGAGCCACAGGACGAGTTGCAGGGCGGGGTGAGAGGTAGGGGGTTGGTTGGGGATGAGGGGGGAGAGTAGGGGCTAGGGTTGCAAGGAAGAGGGTGGACTGGGAGCGGAAATGAGTGGGTGTTGGTGTTGGCATGGCTCGACTGCAGCACGTGAAATGATGGGTGTGACAGGGCAGGGGCATGAGAGGCATACATGGGGTGAGGTAGCACTGTATGCATGACATGACATGCTGCGAGAGTGTGTGGAGGAGTGGGAAAGCATGGAATGAGTGTAGAGCACGAGGGACAGCATGCTATGAGCTCACCACCACCTCACCACTCACCCCCCGCTCTGCCCTCTCCGCTCTGCCCTCTCCGCTCTGCCCTCTCCGCTCTGCCCTCTCCGCTCTGCCCTCTCCGCTATGCCCTCTCCGCTCTGCCCTCTCCGCTCTGCCCTCTCCGCTCTGCCCCTCACCCACCGTTGTGGACGAGCACCCAGTGGCGGCAAAGCCCCTCCTTTCCCCCACTCTATTGCCCTCCCGCCCACCGCCCACCGCCCAGCCTCCCAGCATCCTTCATGGCCGCAGCGGCGCCCTCTCCCCTCGGCACCATTCACGGCCCCCTGCCTTTACTCCTCTCTTCCCCCCACCCCCTCCTCCCCACTTAACCCCAGGCCCGTGCAGTGAAGGAGGATGAGCAGAGGGGGCGTGAGTTGCCGTGGCAGAGGGGGACACACCTCGCCTCGCAGCACCCATGAACCCTCTCCTCCCGTCACTCCTGCCCCCTTCCACCCCCTTTCCCCCTCCTGCCACAGCCGCCCCCAGTGGACGAGGGCCAGGTGGTGCAGCAGAGGCGTCTCGCCCCAAGGCCAGTCTCCTCACCCCACTCCACTCGTCCGCCTCTTCCAGCCACCCCAGTGGGCGAGGACCACCCGGTGCCAGCATTCTTTGTACTGGCAGCAGAGGACACACTCCTACCCTTCCCTCTCGTCCATCTCCCCTCTAGTTCCCCCTCTTTCTTCTTTACCTCCCTCCCTCAACCCCCACTTCCCACAGCCGCCCCGAGGGGACAAGGATCAGCTGGTGCCGGCATCATTCGTCGTGGCTGCAGAGAACACCCGTCTCCACGCCGCCTCCTCTTTCCTCTCTCTCATCCCCCATCTCTACTCCCCTTCCCCGCCTCTCCCTTCCTCCACCCCGTCAACCCCCGCTGCTCCCAGCCGCCCCCAGTGGACGAGGATGAGCTGGTACCGGCGTCCTTCGTCGTGGCAGCAGAGGACACTTTTCACAACACCACTGCACCCTCTCATACCCTCACTTCTCCTCGCATTTCCCCCCGTCCCTTCGTTCCTGCCCAGCCGCCCGAGGTGGACGAGGATCAGCTGGTGCCAGCATCATTCGTCGTGGCAGCGGAGGACACGCGGCTCGATGCCGCCGCCCTGCAGCTGTTCCAGCGGGCGGCGCGCATGGCGGGGCGGGCGGGGCGGTCGAAGAATAAGATCTACTCGGAGGAGCGCGGGCGATACGTGAAGGCGCTGCTGCCCAAAGGAAAGGTGCGCTGCTGCCCAAGGGCAAGGTGCGCTGCTGCTGGGGGGTTGCTCCAGCGCCTCTCCCATGAAAACTGCTCGCCCCTACAACTTTGCTTCTACTGTGACAATCTGAAAAGCGGTTCCTTGATGTGGGTTGTAAGTGGGGTGGGTGGTGGTGGGGTATGGCGTGTGATGAAGGGAGGTCGAACTCGCTTCATGGCCACTGCTTGCTGCTGATAGGCGCAGCGCGCGCCGTGCAACCTTCCAGGCCGCCAACTCTACCCTTTCCAGCACCTCTGCAGGTCATGAAGTCGCTCCGCCTCTCATCTCGAGGTAGCCCCTATGCTTGCCACCATCACCACGTGCCATGCCGCTAGCGGAACATTCCTCCCACCCGCCTTTCTCTCCCCCTTCCTCTTGCTCCTCGTGACTGCTCACGTCCCCTATACGTGGTTGCCATTATCTCCCCCCATTCTCCTCGTGTCCTGCACGCTGCCGCTGTCAGGTGGTGCGAGTAGCAGTGGACGCCCTCTGCCACCAATGAGGTGCTTCCATCGTTATTTCCACTCCCCCCCTCTCCCCCATCCCTCGTGCCTTGCACGCTGCTGCTGCCAGGTGGTGCGTCTGGCAGTAGACGCCACGCTGCGGGCGGCGGCACCGCTGCAGCGGGTGCGGCGAGAGAGGGCGGCGAGGACGGGCGGCAGGGAGCGGCGCATCTATGTGGACAAGAGCGACCTGCGGCGGAAACTGCTGGCGCGGCGAGCGTCGTCTCTGGTGGGCGCAGGGAAGGCTGCATGCGCGCATGGGTGGGGTGTGGGGGTGTGGCGCGCGCATGTGGGGTGCAGGAGAGGCGTCATGCACCGTCGTGCATGGCAAGCATGCAACCACGCCCACACAATCCACCGCATGCTGCCCCAGTGATAGGCTCAGGTGGTTGGGGCAAAGCTCGTTTCACCACGTGGCGCTGCTGAGCGTTGGGTTGTCATTCACCAGTGCTCACCACCATGTACCATCGCTTCTCTTCACTGCCTTGTCCATTCATTCCCGTGGCAGCTGTACCATTCTACCAATTATTCCGCTTTTCCTCCTTCACACCACATGGCACCTGCACCACATGGCACCTGCACCACATGGCACCTGCACCACATGGCACCTGCACCACATGGCACCTGCACCGCATGTCAACACAATCAAGCCCCCCACACCCTTCCCCTCCCCATCCCCACACCCAACAGGTGGTGTTCATAGTGGATGGGAGTGGCAGAAAGGCGCTGAACCGCATACCACCTGCACCATATGGCACCTACCCAACCCACCCCTCCCCTCCCCCCCCAGGTGGTGTTCATAGTGGATGCGAGTGGCAGCATGGCGTTGAACCGCATGGCAACACAATCAGCCCCCCCACACCCACGGGCCACGGGCCCTCCACTCCCCCTTCAACCGCCCCACCCCCTCCTTCCTCCACCAGGTGGTGTTCATAGTGGACGCGAGTGGCAGCATGGCGTTGAACCGCATGGGGGCGGCCAAGGGAGCAGCGCTGCAGCTGCTGGCGGAGAGCTACAGCAAGCGGGACAGCATCGCTGTCGTGCCCTTCCATGACCAGCACGCTGACCTGCTCGTACCACCCTCCCGCGCAGTCGCTCTTGCTCACAAGCGGTGAGTGCTGTAAGGATGTCACTGGTTATGAGGTGCAGCAAGCGGTTGAGTGCGGTGAGAGATGGCGGCGCAGGGAGCAGCGCTGCAGCTGCTGGCGGAGAGCTACAGCAAGCGGGACAGCATCGCTGTCGTGCCCTTCCATGACCAGCATGCCGGCCTGCTCGTGCCGCCCTCCGGCGCCGTCGCTCTCGCTCACAAGCGGTGAGTGCCATGTTGGGTTGAACCCCAGCGAGCCTGCAGGGAGAGATGCACTGCACTGCACCCTTGCTGCTACCTGCGTTCGCCCACTTTCCACCTCCTCTGCAGCACCTCCCATGCAGGAACTCAGCTGATCAACCCTTTGCATTGACTCTCGTGCCCTCCCTTGTTTGCAGCCTGGAGAGTTTACCGTGCGGGGGGGGCTCCCCGCTGGCGCACGCGCTGGTGGTGGCGGTGCGGGCGGCGGAGGTGGCGAGGAGGCGTGGCGACGTGGGGCAGGTGGTGGCCGTGCTCATCACCGACGGCCGCGCCAACGTGCCACTCTCCACGTCGCTCGAGGCCCTGGAGGGGGGCGGTGGTGGCGGAGAGGGTGCCACGGGCGCAGGCGGGGAGGAGAAGCTTCCTCCTTGCCTGGAAGATATTAAGGTGCGCCCTTGCTTGCCCTTCTCTTTTCTTCCGTCTCCTATGCCTCTCCTGCCCTGCCCCTCTACTCTACTCTCCTCTCCTCTCTTCTCCTCCCCTCTTCCTCTCCTCTCCTCTCCTCTCCTCTCCTCTCCTCTCCTCTCCTCTCCTCTCCTCTCCTCTCCTCTCCTCTCCTCTACTCTTTTCGTCTCTCCTCTCCTCTCCTCTCCTCATCCAAAAGGTGAATGCAAGGAATACTCACAACTTGCCAACCCAGCTCGAAACCCTTACACCTTCCCCTCCACCTTCTCCCTTTTTTCCATGGGAGCCCCTTTCCTGATCCGCTGCTTCCTGTTCTCTGCTCATCCCTTGGCGGCTGGCAGGAGGAGGTGCTGAGCATAGCAGCCAAGATGGGGGCGGCGGGCATACAGCTGCTGGTGATCGACACCGAGAACAAGTTTGTTTCTTCTGGCTTTGCCAAGGAGATCGCGAAACACTCGCAAGGTGAGTTGTCCTACAGCTAGGGTAAGCATTCAACTAGCCCATTTATGTTGGACAGCTGGCGATAACTCTTTTACTGTACTTGCACGCACGAGTTTCTTTTATACACCAAACCCGTTTGGCAAGTGATAATCATCTGCCTGGCCGAGACAAGAGTGCCCCTCATTTCAAGCTAAGCCCCCTAAATGTGAGCGTTTTTGCCTCCTCCTGATGAGCTGCCTTGAAGGTGATTTGAAGGTGTCGCATACTTCTGCTGATTCTTGCTTGACCCCTTTCTTCTGCCAAACAGGAAAATATTTCTACCTACCGCATGCAACTGTCGCTGCTGTAGCTGCCACTGCTCGTGCAGCTATGCAAGACTTCAGAAAGCCCTAGGGCCTTGAATTCATACGCTACATTGTACATATTGTAGTTCATGCAGACCCTTTAAATTCTTGAGCTATGCTTGTACATATGGTTTGGTAATGTTTGGTGTGTTCTAAGAAGATGGTGTTTCTTCTGAACTTCTTAAAACATTTCATGCATATGATCCTGTAGTGTAAACAGAAATCGAAACTGTAAATAGATTGTATATTTGCATGACCATATGTTGTTTTTATCATATCCATATGTATAAATACTTGTTCCAATTAGAAAAGGATTCGCTCTATATACACAAATGTAGCGTTGTTCTGTACATCCCTTCATCTCATAGGGCCCACCCAAGCAAACCCAAGGTTGCATCACCATTTCGTCGCAGCACGGCAGAAAGGTGCTCGGCTGGGGCGAGCGAAGCTGGTCGAGCTCACATAAAAAGGAGATTACCCTGTCCTCATTCACTATCTCGTCCCGTCCCGTCTCGTCAGCTTGTTCCAGACCATTTCTCAGCAACAAGGAAATCCGCGTCAAATATGGCCTCAGGTTGCATTCAGCTCTTTACATGCACGCATTGTTTGCTTCCGCTTTCTTAACTCATGCTTGGTACAGATATGCGCGTGGAGCCCAAGGCTTTGATACTTGTCGGAGGCTATGGCACACGCCTGCGACCCCTGACGCTGAGGTAGAGTTTCAGTATGTCTTATCAATTCTCGACGCAAATGCAGGATGCTCGATAAATAATATCCTGAAATCTTGAAATCCGTGCAGCAAGCCTAAGCCACTCGTTGAATTCGCGGGAAAACCAATTCTTCTTCACCAGGTATTTGTCCTGATGTTTCCAAGGCGCTGATTCATCGTGGTAATATATGTTCTAACATTCTTCACAGCTCGAGGCTTTGCGGGAGTGCAACGTCAAAGAAGTAGTCCTCGCATTGAGCTACATGCCGCATGGATTTAAGCAGTTTCTTGAGACTTACGAAAAAGAGTTAGACATGACCATTACGTGCTCTCGGGAAGAGGAGCCGCTAGGGACGGCTGGGCCTCTGGCTTTAGCCAAGAATATTCTGCTAAAGTCTACTGCGTCTTCTCCACCTCAACCATTCTTCATGCTGAACAGCGACGTGATCTGCGACTATCCATTCAAAGGTAGCATCCGAACTGCTCTCTTTCCATACAACGCTGTCTAAACTTGACAGTTATCTTACGGGTCCGGATCTTCCGATGCAGGACTGCTTGACCTTCATATTAGCCGTGGTGCCGAAGCTACACTTATGGTGACTCGCGTTGAGGACCCCAGCAAATATGGTGTCGTGATAATGGATGATGCAGGTGCTGTCAGCCGTTTTGTGGAAAAGCCTAAGACATTTGTTGGTGATACTATCAACGGAGGCATTTACATTCTAAGCCCTTCTGTCCTTGAGAGGGTTGAGCTGCGGCCTATGTCAATTGAGAAGGTGCTTATCATCCTATGCGTATGTCCCCGTGTAACGACTGAGGCTGACTCTCCATTCACTTGTGCAGGACATCTTTCCAAGAATTGCCATGGATAAGAAGTTGTATGCCATGGTTCATACGGGCTACTGGATGGATGTTGGGCAGCCCAAAGACTACCTGGAAGGGATCAAGACGTATTTGCATCACAAGAGAAGTTCGCATCCAGAGATACTGGCCACTGGAAGCAACATTGTTGGGAATGTGATTGTGGATCCCTCTGCTATCATCTCCAAGAGCGCGTCTGTTGGTGAGTAGGCCGTCAGTTGATGGTGGTTTAAGCCACGTGGCATGAATCTCCTTACTGAATCATGTGCTTGTGACAGGCCCTGATGTTGTCATTGGACCCAATTGCATCATCCACGATGGTGTGAGGATTCATGGAAGTGTCCTCCTGGGAGGTTCACGAATTGGCTCAGGTAGCCTGATTCTGAACAGCATTATTGGCTGGAACTCAACAGTGGGGAAGTGGACACGCATTCAAAAGAATTCAGTCCTGGGCGAGGACGTCACTGTGAATGATGAAGTGCTGATCAATGGCGCAAAGGTCTTGCCTCACAAGGAGGTCAAGGCAGATGTTGATACTCCACAGATCATCATGTAGCCAGGCTATGGCTGTGAAGGGTGGAAAGTGGGCAAGGTACTCTGTAATATGTACGATATACTAATATATGTAACATTATCAGCTGTTGAACTAGCAAATTAAGCACCAAACCAAGAATCTCCTGTTGATTACCAACTCTAGCAGAGCTCACTGCTGCTGTTGCTCTGCAACGCAAAGGGCTTCAAGTCCAGGCACTTCCATTATCATGGGGAGCTCTGGTCGCCATGGCAGCTCATCGTTTTCCCAGATAGACCAATGGCTCTGCTTCATTGTCGGTGTTGGTCTTGGGCTTGCATGAAACAGCCGCAGCTGGCGGAACAAGAAAGCCATTTCCAGCTCGTCCTCCTCCACCTCATCTCCAGTGCTTTCGGTGTCAGCCTGCTCTCCAGATAGATCTGAAACCTCTGAAGTGTGTCCCTCACTCTGATCAGATGAGGAACCCGAGCTCGTGTTTTTGCCCGACTCTGAATCAGACAGTTCCTGACGACCTCCCCTTTCTGGCTCAACCCCCTTTCCAGTGCCAGGCTCCTCATCCCTCTTACCTTCATCACAGCACCCTTTCACCAGCACGCCTGCCGATCTTGCACTAGCTGGCGCAAATGAGGTGAACTTGCAACCACTGGCATCATGCTCTGCCTGCTGCACCTTGAGCCTAAAGGTTGCCTCATAAGCTGCACACCTGGCTGCTACCTCGAGTGCTTGCAGGCTCTTATCATCCTCACTCTCATCCCACTCAGTCCGTAAAGATGGCTCCAGGACCAAGGACATGCCATTGGGATCTTCATGCTTGTGGCACTGCTCATCACATTCTCCCTCATCATCCTCCCCTTCCTCGTCCTCCTCTTCCTCGTCTTTCTCACCCTCCTCCCCATCCTCCTCGTCTTCCTCGTCTTCCTCCTCGTCATTCTCCTCCTCTTCCACTTCCTCCTCGTCTTCCTCCTCTTCCGCTTCCTCCCCTTCTTTATCTTCCTCGTCCTCCTCTTCTTCCTCCTCTTCCTCCTCTTCCTCTTCTTCGTCTTCTTCCTCCTCCTCTCCTCCCTCTTCTTCCCCTTCCTCTCCCTCTTCTTCCTCCTCCTCTCCCTCTTCTTCCTCCTCCTCTCCCTCTTCTTCCTCCTCCTCTCCTTCTTCCTCCTCTTCCTCTTCTACCTCTTCTACCTCTTCCTCTTCTACCTCTTCCTCTTCTACCTCTTCCTCTTCTACCTCCTCCTCTTCTCCCTCCTCCTCCTCCTCCTCCTCCTCCTCCTCCTCCTCCTCCTCCTCCTCCTCCTCCTCCTCCTCCTCCTCCTCCTCCTCCTCCTCCTCCTCCTCCTCCTCCTCCTCCTCCTCCTCCTCCTCCTCCTCACCCCCCTCCCCTAGTTCCTCTTGCTGAAATTCTTGAACCTTATCCTCTTCATCATCTCCCCCCTCTCCCTCTCCCACCACCGCTTCCAGTTGCTCCTCACCACTCACTGTACCCGTCCATTGTCCATCCATTACCGTCCCCTCTTGTCCTCTCACAACCTCCCCCTTATCCTCAACGCCAACGCCCTCCACGCTCCACCTTTGGTCCTCCGTCCGCCTCTCCTCGCTGCCAGCCTGCAACAATGTCAGGAAGGCGTTGCTAGGAACATCCTCCACAGTCGCGCCCCGCTCCTCGCCAGCACACTGCCCCATGGCAATCGTCGCATCCAGAATCTCCTCCCATGCTTGCCTCTCCCTCTTCCCCTCGCACCTCCCCACTCCCCCTTCCTCGCCGTCAAACGCACTCCCCTGTTCATCACTGTCCTTCCTTAAACCCTCTCCCACCACTCCCCTAAATTGTGGCTCTTCTGAGCTTGCATGGCAAGGCTGAAGAGGAGCATTCACCCCATCACCATCCCCGCTGCACTCCTTCAGCTCACCCAATCCATCCGCTGCTGCTCTCGCCTGCTGCATCATCTCGCTCTCCCCCCAGCTCTCCTCGCCCTCCTGAATTTCTTCCATCCCTTCTACCGCTTCCATCCATTCGATCCCTTCAATTCCCTCACTCCCCCAGGACCTCCTCCTCGTCTCGGCATCAAAGAACTCCTCATCCTCGCTAGTAGCAGACTCAAACATCTCTGAACTGTTCTCCCCGTGCACACTTGACCCAGCGCCCATCGCCATCCCAGCCATACAACTCCCAGGAGACAAGCCCTTCTGTGAGTCTCCCGGGATAACTGCTGAGTGCTGCTGCTGCTGCTTCTCATCATGTGAACTCACCACACCGTTCACTTCAAGTAGCGCCTGTCTGCACCCCATCGCCCTCTGCTCGCCCACCAGCCCGCCAAACACGTCCTCCATCCAGCCGCCACCTGCATCGCCCCTCTTAAGCCCGCCCCATACGCCATTGAAAGCACCAAGCACACCAGCCTCGCTCCCGCCTCCAGCCAGAGGGCCCAAGAGGTCCAGTGGATCTAGAGGCCTCTCTTCCCACTGCGCTGCCAGGCGAAACGCCTCATGGGACGGCTGGCTCAGACTGCCGCTCAACAGCTCCCCCAGAGGCCCACTGCCCGCCCCGCTGTAGCACCCGCTGCTTTGGCTCAGCGGCCCACTGCTCTGTTGGCTCAGTGGCCCGCTGCCTGCACCGCTGCCTGTTCCACTGCCTGTATGGTTATAGCACCCACTGCTCTGGCTCAGCAGCCCGCTGCCCTGGTGGCTTAAAGGCCCGCTGCCTGCCCGGTTGTAGCGCCAGTTGCCTTGGCGGGTCAAGGGCCCGCTGCCCCATCGCCTGAGCGGCATGCTGCGCAGCCTGCCTGAAGGGCTCCTGACTCGCGCTCCCAGTGGCCCACTGCCCGCCCGCACCAGAGGCCCGCTCAGGCTGTGAATCGCATTGCAAGGCCCACTGAGCGGCCCGCTGAGAGGCCCACTATGAACGCGACCGTCAGCGCCAATGGTCCTTGTGTTGTACTGAGTGTGAGGGGCATTCGGGGTGCTGTGGGTTGTACGGTTGTACCTACACCTGCAGGTGCACCTGCTGCTGCTGGGACTGCTGCTGCTGGAACCGCCTGCTGCACTGCTGTCCCCGCCACTGCTGTGCGCGCAGCACCCATTGCTCGCCACGCTGCTGCTGCTCATGCCACAGCTGCTGCCGCTGATGCTGCTGCCGTGGCTGTGGCTGCTGTGGCTGCCCCAGTGGCGCTGCCTCGGGAGCTCTGAACAACTTCCCCGGCTCGCCTCCTCCTCCTCCTGCTGCACCCCCTCTTTCCCCTGCGTCTCCTTCTCCCCCTTTTGCTGCCACGTCAGCTGCTTCTCCGCGCACTGCTTCGACAGGCCTGTCGTCCCACACACGGAGCGGCGAGTGGTGTCCTCGATCCACTGCATGCCGCTCTGCAGGGCAGCACTGGTGGGGTCCAGAGGGGCGTCCATGCGCGCCACCCTCACCACATCCCTCCCTGCATCTCCACTCCCTCTCTGCACCAACGCCTCCTTCTCCTCTTCGCCACGCCCACCACCCCACCCCAGGGCCGCAAAGGCCAGGGACACCCGACCCACATCTGCTTCCGTGCCTCCGTCGCTGCCCGCCGCCCCACCGCCGCCCACAGCAGCACCACCTTTACCCTCCTGCGCCTGCTGCTCGCCTCCCTGCCCTCCCGTGGCCGTTGCCTGCTCTCCCGACATCTCACCACCCCGCATCAGCTCCAACGCCGCTCGCTCTGCCACCTCTTCGCCCGCCTCTCCGCCTGCCTCCCCGCCCGCCTCTCCACCCGCCTCCCCGCCCGCCTCTCCACCCGCCTCCCTGCCCGCCTCTCCACCCGCCTCCCCGCCCGCCTCCCCGCCCGCCTCTCCGCCCGCCTCTCCACCCGCCTCTCCGCCCAGCGCGCGCCACCGCTTGCTCCACCGCACTCCCCGCAGCCGCCACGTCCCCGCTGCTGCACTCCCCACTGCAACCGCCGCTGCTGCACCCCCCGCTGCTGCGCCCTCCCCTGTTGCGCCCTCCCCTGTTGCGCCCTCGCACGACTCTGCTGCTGCCGCGCCAACAGCACCACTTCCCTCCAGCCCTCGCTGCAACTCCTCCGTTCTGCCCTCTGCCCGTCCGCTCCTCCCCTCCGCCCTTTCCCCCTCCTCCACCGCCCTGGCCTCCCCCCTTCCCGCCACTTGTACCTCTGCCTCCGCGGCGTGCGGCTGCCTGCTCGCGCTGTTGATCGCCACCTCACCCTCACCCGCACGCCACGAGTCAACGGCTCCCCCGCCTGCCACCCGCTCCCCCTCATCCGCCTCGCGCTCCTCCGCTTCTACGTCGCACGCTCGCTCTTCATCCCCATCCCCTTCTTCTTCCCACGCCTCCTCATCCTCCTCCCTTTCATCCTCCTCTTCCTCCTCCTTTTCCTCCCATTCTTTCTCCTCCTCCCGCTCCTTCGACCCTTTCCCATCACCTTCCTCTAACCCCTCTTCAACCCTCCTGTCCACGTCATCCCCTTCCATCTCCCCTTCTGCCCCTTTCTCCTCCTCTTCCCATCTCCCATCCTCATCCTCGTTCTCATCCTCCCATGTCTCCTCCTCGTCTTCTTTTACATCCACCTCTGCTTCACATTCCTCCTCTCCCTGCTCGTCCCCGCCCTCCCCACCCACCTCCTCCCATTCCTCGTCTCTCTCACTCTCCTCCTCCTCTGTTGCATATGCCTCTTCACCCGCTTCCTCTCTCTTTCTCCTCCTTGTCACCTCATTCACCCATCGGCATTTCCCTTGTTCGCCACTTTCGCCACTTTCGCCGCTTTCGCTACTTTCGCTACTTTCGCTCTCACCCATCCTCCTCCGACTCCCAGATCCCCTCTCGCCAGTCGTAATCGTAGCGACTGTCTCGACCCGACCAGATCCGTCGCTCGAATCTCGCGACTCTCGCTGCGACTCCTTTGAGTCGCCCAGAGCGTATGCCTTCGCATCCCCGTTAACAGATGCCTCGGTTGAGTATCCTGGTGACTCCAGCTGAAAGTGCGAGCGGAACCTCATCGTACGGCTGTGATCGCTCCGTCGGTCGGGGCTATCATGCCAGGGAATGCCCGGGTCGGAAGACGCGGGTACCTGGCGGGAAAAGGGAGGGCATGACTCATGCAGTAAGTAGCGCGTCGACGTGTGGATAGAACAGGAATGCACCATTGCGGTGTTTGACTGTAACTGAGATGCGCGATGGGGGCAAAAGGCAGGTGATAGCGTGCAAGCAGTAGGAGCCGAAACTAGCGCGAACCTGACGCTCTTTTTCCTGCGCCATTGCGTTCCACGCGTCATCTCGCCATCTGACTTTTGAGTCGACTCAGAAGTCAGCTCGTGCCACGCGATCCTGTTCTCCGTGCCTCACTCCGTTACTTTCTGCTCTCCACCCTGTGCCCTCTCTTCCTTCCAACCAAGCCCTTCCCGTTCCTCGCCTCCAGCTCACCTGTCGCCGCCTCGCGCCGCCTCGCGCCACGCCCATGGCGGCTTCGCGCTTCTTCACCGCCGCCAGCACCTCCCAGTGCGCGCGCTGGTCGAATCGAATCATTCGCTCCTTATCGAATTCATCCTCGCTAAGAGCGCTCTCCGCGGTGACTACATACGTCCATCCCTTACACAGCCGTTTCGACAAGCGAAGACTCTTCTTCGCGGGTCCGTGAAACAAGCCGGGAGTTGCGGCGCGTAGCGAAAGGGCGATCTCGAGAGGCTCGGACGCTGCAGAGCAAGACAGCGTGGACCTGGATGATGATGACGTGGATGGGAAGGCTAGTGACGTGGTCGCTGCGCGGAGGCAGTACGGCAGCACGCGCCTGAGGGCCTGCTCTACGGTGAGGCGCGCGGCGAGGGAAAGGTGAAAGCCGTCGGGCAAAATAACTATCGCTCCAGCTGCCCGGCTGTCAGACGCTGTGCGCCAAGGCCACATCGCGGCGAGGTCTTTGCCGCCAGTCGCACAGGCTTGGCTGGTCCCTTGAACAGGGATGCGCAAGGCAATCAAATGCGACAATTGTAGATGTTACGAGCTCTGGAGAGTAATAACCTGGTTTGTATTGTGTTACCTCTCGTGATAACCTGAGAAGCGCTAGAATGTAACTTCTGAAATCCGCTGGCCGCGCAAATGTGGGGTTGACCTTCTAGCGACTCGCTACAAGAGAAAATACGCTTTTCCTTCGCGACTATCGAGTATCGAGCCTCAAGAGTGTCGACGCCGCCTCGAGTCACTCAAACACCAACCCTCATCGCTCTGTTTAGGCTGAGCGGGACCTGCGCAAGGGAAGGTGCTGCAAGAGTTCTGGCACAGATGTGGGAGGGAGGTCATGGGAAGGCTGGAAACCCAAGCAGAATGCTTTTTTGCGAGATGCTCCTCCAAAACAATCGGGGCACTTGTACCCTTTTAGACTCTTCGTTCTGCCGGCTCTCAGCAACTAGAACGCAAAACGGAACCGTCGCTGTGCTGTGTACTCTTTTACTGAGTGCGGCCTTAGATAAAAATAAAATCGTAGACATGATCCCGTGGAAGTGGAAAACGCGATAATCATCCAGTCACAGCCGAACATTTCCTAGCATAAATGCTCATATACAGGTAGTTACCCGACAGAAGCCAAATCTCCTAGTTTTCCTGCGTTTTGTGCCAACGCTGGTAGAGCGACGCCGAGTCGGCCAGAGTTTGGATGACAGCGAAGCGCGAATCTGACGAAACGCGAAACCAACGGCTATTACAAAACTGGCGGGCTGTAGGCTTAGCTACACTGAGGATGGCCAAATATCGGTGAAAGTTATTGTTACGGGTGCAATGTAGCTAGTACATACACACAGATTGCGCTAAGTTGGCAAACGAGTACCGTACAAATGTGAGTGAAGGCATGAGCTAAAATTTATCGTGAAAACAGCAAACGGTAACGCGGTGCGTGCGAGCTAGCTAGTGCAATGCTGGCAGCAAGGTTCGGTCTAGTCCCGAAGCATAGGCCGACTCGGGCCAGTCCAGCATTGCGTAGTTTGGGAAATGTGACGCGGGAAGGCGGCGAGCTCTCTCAAGAAGTACGCAGAACGGAATGGTTGATTAGGAAAGGTGGTGGGTACAAATGCAAACCCTAACAATCTATACTCTCTAATGCATGCATCACTACAGCCTAGAACATACAAATATATATGTTTGACACATCCCCATAGGCTAAGTGAGGGATAGCAAGAGAGAGCAATAAGCACACATGGTCACAAGACCAGTCAAGAGAAGCAACAAGACAACGCTCAGGGTGGATCTCAAGAACATCACACATTCCGAGCACAAGCAAACAACCATAAGGCCAGTTCAAGAGTTACAAATCTATATAGATGCAAGGACAAGCAGAGCAAGCAACAAGAAATAATGCTACAGCAACCTAGCACCAGCGTCAACAAGGCCTAACTCCAGAGAGAACCTGTGGTGATCACTAGGCGCTAGGGCCTTGGTGAAGATGTCTGCAGTGTTGGCCTCTGAGGCCACAAAGTCCAAGCGTGCCTAGCCGCGTCGCTGCAACGCTCGCGGGAGAAAGTACTTCACGTCAATGTGCTTCACTCTGCTCTCCAGTCGAGGCTCTCGACACAGGAGGATCATGGCCTTGTTGTCAGCAAACAAGGTCGGTGCAGAGCGAGGCCGCTCACCAAGGTTGGCGAGCAAGAAAGTCAACCAGAGAAGCTCCTGCGCAGCCATGGCACCAGCGTAGATCTCTGCCTCTGCACTGGACGAAGCTACAGACGACGACCGAGTAGACCTCCACGACACAGCTCCAGCTCCCAAGCTGAAGCAGTTTCCCTGAGTGGACCTCTGTGTCTCCACGTCGTCGGCGTAGGAAGAGTCGCACTGACCAGTCAGAACAACTGGCTGTCTCCTGTCAAAACATATATGTATATTCTTAGTTCTGCTAGGCTACAGTGAGGTGCTCAGTATAGAGTACAACCCCAGTTAGGGTTTCATACTTGTATCTCCCTGTTGCTAGTCATTCATCATTCCCGCACGAATCTCTCGACATGGTTTCCGAGCAAGAACACGGTTAGATTTTTTTAGGGCCCACCAAATCGATCCGCTAGAACCTTCCCGTAGCGCCCTTGCGCTGCATTGCCCTACCCGTACAGTGTCGCGCCGCCCTGCTGCCACGCGCGCTGCCTGCCCTAACGCGCTGCCTGCTGCACGCGCGTTTCCTGCCCGCTAGCGCGCTGCCTGTCGTCCGCGCGCGCTGCCTTGCCCGCGCACGCCCTGCCTGCGCGCACGCGCTGCCTGCCTGCACTACTACCCGCGCAAGCCCCCTACCTGAGCGCGTGCTACCTGCCTGCGAGCGCCCCTACCCGCGCGCGCTGCTGCTGCTGCGTACGCTGCTACTGCTGCGCAGCTGCTGTGCTACTGCGCCTGAGCTGCTGCTGCGCCTGTGCTGCTGCTGCCGCACGCGCTGCTGCTGCTGCGCAGCTGCTGCTAACAGTGCTGCGCTGCTGCTTTTGCTGCGCCTGAGCTGCTGCTGCCGCACGCGCTGCTGCGCTGTGCCCTGCCAAACCACGCCGCGCCGCCCTGCCCGAGACGTGCCGCGCCGCGCCGCCCTGCCCGAGCCGCGCCGCCCTGCACGAGCCGCGCCGCCCTGACCGAGCCGCGCTGCCCTGACCCTACCGAGCCGCACTGCCCTACTGCTGCTGCTGCTGCTGCTGCTGCTACTGCTACTGGTGGCACCACTGCTGCTGCTGCTGCTCCTACTACTATGGCCACCATCTCGTTTCTTAGCTTTGATGCGGAGGGTCGCCCGATTAGCTTTGACGTTTGGCTCGACGATCTCCAGCTGTTCCTGCAGAGCGAGGCTAGGGATGGAGTTTCACTGATAGAACATACGTCCGGATCCCTCCTCGCCCCACCTGCTACAGCCGACCGCTCAGATCAGTCGAAGTGGCTCACACGTGTCGCTACTGCCCGCCTTCCTGTCCGCAATCACCTCCCGCTAGCTGAGAGAGCCCATTTTGGCCAGCATAAGACAACCAAAGACCTCTATGACGCAATTGTCGCTCGTTACTCCTCCCCAGCTACTGCTGCCCTAGGCCGCCTCATTCTACCGTACCTCTTTCCTGAGCTCGCAGATTTTTGCACTGTTGCTGATCTCATGACTCACCTTCGATCTAGTGAGACTCGCTACCGCGCCGCTCTCAAGCCGGCCTTCCTCAAAGAGACCCCCCCCCCCGCTTTATATCACCCTGTACTTCCTTGTCACCCGCCTCCCGGACTCCCTCTGCACAGTTAGGGGCCACTTTCTCGCCCTTGACCCCACTGAGGTCACGCTTGCCTCGCTGGAGAAGTACCTTCTCGAGGCCGAGACCAGTACTGTCGCTGTCGCTGCCTCTTGTGGCACTCCCCGCTCCCCATTCTTTGAAGGGTGTGCTCCCTCCCCTCTCATACCCTCAGTTGCCACTGCTGCTGCTGTCGACCTCCTTGGTGCTGAGGAAGTCGGCGCTGCGTCTGCTCCTAGTGATAGGCGCCGCAACGGCAAGGGAAAGGGGGGTAAGGGAGGTGGGGGTGGCGCTAGCGGTGGTGGTAGCGTGGGTGGTGGTGGCGGGGGTGGAGGCGGTGGAGGTGGCACCGGAGGTGGAGGCGATGGAGGTGGCGGGGGTGGTGGAGGTGGCCGAGGTGGTGGAGGCGGCGGGGGTGGTGGAGGCGGGCGGGGTGGAGCTGGCAGGGGTGGAGGCTCTGGGGGCGCAGCTCGTGGCGGCGGAGGCTATGGGAGTGGACTGCCGCTGCCACGTCTCTCGGACACACCCGCCCCTCAGCAGCTTCGTGAGTGGGCTGTCCAGCGTGGTTCCCCTGGGGGCTCTGGTCGCTGCTCGTATGTCAGGCGCACGGGGCCCAACAAGGTCATACCTGCGGGAACCCTGGGCACACTGAGTATCGCTGCTTCGGTCGTCTTGAGGATGCCTGGGTGACTGAGTACGGTGATGAGCAGGAGGTCCCCAACTGGCTGGGACTGATAGCGAAGGGAGTAGATGTGTTTGCTCTTGACTTTGCTGCTATCAACAAGGGACTCGTGTGCTGAGGGTGCCTGTTACTCGTGTGTGCCTTGCGCTGCTAGTGAGTTTGCTGCCGCTAGGTGCTAGTGAGTATGCAGCCACTCTAGGTGCTAGTGCGTCTGCTGCCACATGTGCTAGTGAGTCTGTTGCTAGTGAGT